ATGTTCTGCGGCACCTTGTGGAAGATGGACAAATGATGTGTTTTAGATATTTCTTACAGCCGTATTCCAGACGTTTCGCGTAATCCCACCAACACATCCACGAACGATGCCCAGGCGAGTTGCCCTGATCAGGTATGTGGGGGAGCACGCAATGGAATAAAGGCTCGGAAGCCGTCGTACCCAAAGGGGAGGAGGATAGAGGGGGAATTTGAGGAGGAGGAGGAGGAGGAGGAGGATGAGGAGGAGGAGGAGGAGGAGGAGGAACAGGAGGAAAAGGAAGAGGAGGAGGAGCAAGAGGAGAAGGAAGATGAGCACCACGATGATGAAGGTGGTGGAGGAGCAGGAGGAGGAAGACGAGGAGGAGGCGGGCGAATAGGAAGGCCAGAGGCCTCTGGGATGTTTCTCGGAGTGTCTTCGGATGTCTCTCGATCGCTTCTCGTAAGCTTGTTGGGGCGTCTTGGGAGCCTCTTGGCGGCCCCGGGGGCATCTTGAAGCGTCTTGGGTGCCTCGGGTGGGCCTCTTGGGAGCCTCTTGGGGGCATCTTGGGGGCCTCTTGTGGCCTCCTGGGCGCCTCTTGGGGCCCTCTTGGGGCACCTTCGGGAGCCTCGCGGGCCACCCTGGGGCCATCTTGGAGGTGATCGATATTGACCCACAACCTCAATCACATCAACTATTTTGGCCTCCTCGCCGGGGCCGTCTTGGACGCTCCAACCTGTCGCGGGGCGCCCCGTCCAGATCCAGGGGGAGAGAATAGGGGGAGGAATCAAGACACCCCGCCCGCAAGCTAATGGATGGACAACTACTGGAAATCAAAACAGACCCCATGTGCGCGACGCTGGGGCGAGTACGCCACGCGTGGCAGGCGCTCCACGCGGGCCAGGTGCGCCAGGCACCCCTGGAGCCCAAGCGTGCCAGGCACGCCTGGCGCGCCAGATGCGCCACGTGCTCCACGTGCGCCATGTGTTCCGCATGATCCAGCCGCGTCAGGTGCGCCACGTTTGGGGCACGCGCAGAGTGTGTCAGGTGCGCCCGCGCACGTGAGAGCACACATCAGGAAACGTGTCGGAGTACCCCCCCCCGTCCTGTCAAGTATCAATGGACATCGATCGCGGGTGGCCGCGCATGGTCCAGATGTAGCTTCAAAGTGTCATTTGTATTGATTTTTGTTGACAGGGATTGTGACCTTGCGCGCAGCAGGCATTATGATACCCGCCGCCGTCCCTGCCAACAAAGAAGTGCAAAGTGCTCGTGGCGCCCACGAGCATGACCTAAGATTTGCCCCATCATGTATTTTGCATGAACGGGGTGGTCGGGGGGTGGCTGTCATTGTTCCTGGTTTTGGCTGCCGGTCGCCTTGGGGAGGGTGTGCTTATTCATAGAGAACAGTGACAAACACCTCCCCGAAGGGGAAGAAGGGGGGCTGGAAGAGAAAACTTGCTAAGCCACTCTGGCTCTAAGGGGCTTGTGGGAGTGCCAAGGCCTTATGGCCAGTGCCCCCGACCCTGATCGGGGACGACGACGTCGACGACGAAACCCATTCCGAAACGCAAGGGAAAGCATTGATCTTGCCCTCTTGGGATTATCTTGGGAGTGCTCTTGGGGCTCTCTTGGGCCTCTTGGGCGCCTCTTGGGGCATCTTGGGGAAATCTTGGAGCGGAAGGCTCACAATGTCCGATAGTGTTCCCCCTCTCGGGGGCCTCTTGGGGCCCTCTTCGAGCCCTCTTCGGTTGTCTTGGGGCCGTTTTGGGCTGTCTTGGTCAGTTTTCAGCGCATTCGGCAGCCTCATGGGCTCGTAGTGCGATGTTGGGGGCTTCCTGGGCCGTCGTGTAGCTTCGGAAGCCCGAAACAGCGAGGATGCGAACAAAACACGGACAACTCAATGAACATACAGATAGCATCCGGTAAGAGCGGTGTTACAGCAAGATTTCTTATCGTATGTGTCTACTGTACGGGCGCCCCACGGCGTACATGTTGACTCGAGGACGTGCAGCCAGCATTCTCGATTCGATTACTTATTGCCGTTGGCGTGGGCTGTATGCTATGAGGGGGTCGTCAGTGAACAGGGTGTCCCTCGAATGAGCCAGACCCAGGCGCGGTCCTTGTGCCGTTAGTCCTGCGGAGGTGGCCCTCGACGGCCCCGCTGCAGGCCGTTTATCAGCGACGACATCCGAACACTACCCCCGCTGTGCATGGTTCTGCATTGTTGGTTATCACCAGCGTCCTGGGGTCTTCCTGGACCTGTATTTGTGTGGCGTAGCTATCTCTGCCTTGTCTTACCGATGCGAAACCAGATCCGGATTCCTCGAGGGCATAATGCAGTGAGCCCGGTGAGCTTTTCCCCGAACCAGTGCTTGCACTTGCTTTTTGTACGAACATGTGTGATAGAAAACAGGAGAACTTTGGGGCTCCTTCTGCAACCGATCACGTTTCACCGGTTTTCGCCACGTTCCCGCTCGTGGGCGCTTCTTTGGCGCCCCGTGCACTTGTCGGGGGTGGACAGAACCCCAACAGTGACACGTCGATTAGTGAATTGTCCGTTTTCGGTTCTCGAGAGGGCGCCGTGGCCGTTCTTTTCCAGGCCTGCGCCCGCCAGGTTTGGGCCTCAGGTCGTTTTCACTAAACCACGTTTTACTAAAGGGGAGGTCTGTCCATCCCCGAACTTGGTAGGTTCCACCAGGTTTCGGCAATGGTCCCGCTCCCGGGCGCCTCCTCGGCGCCCCGCGCGGAAGCGGGGCGCCCCGCCCCGTGGGCGCTCCGTGGGTGCCCCAAGGCTTCGGGGGGGGGGGGGTTCTCCGAGACCATCGCCTGGGTGCCCGCCCGTTGTGGCGCCTCCTGGGGCGCTCGCGGGCCCCCCGTGCCGCGGGCGGTGTGCTCCCCGACGTGCTCCGCGGCGTGCCCGCGCGTGGGGCCCCGCGTGGCTCCCCCCGGTGCGCTCGGCGAGATGCCCGAGGTCTCGCCCCTGTCGGCGCCCGTGGGGGCGCCCCGTGGGCGCCCCCCGTGCGCGCGTCGGTCGCACAGCGTGGCTTACGCACCATAGCCTACAGCACCGCATAGCTCTCACCGCATAGCTTACAACACATGGCTCACACCACACAGCGTACACCACTTAGCGTACACACCATAGCTTGCATCATACAACATGCACCGCAAGAGTTCACACCACATAGCTCACACCGCACACCGCACACCACATAGCTTACACCACATAGCCTATACAACAGAGCTAGAAGCGCACAGCCTACACCTCATGAGCTCACACCACAAGGCTCACACCGCATAGCTGTCACATACGTTGTAAACCACTGTTTGGGGGTCCACGCTGGCTAACATTCTTGTGATTGGTTCCCCCCAGTCAGCGGACCCAAGGGGTCTCGACCACTTTCCTGGAGGGAGCTCTTCGTGCAGGCTCCGCTTCTGAGGGCCCCGCGCCCCGAAGCGGGCCCCTGGAGGCCGACGTCGAGTAAAGACCGCCAACTGAGCCCATTCCACGGCGGAGCTCGCGCCACACAGCCGGTGCGGCGGGTTCCGATACGGAAACGGTGCGTGGACCCCTCTCGCTCAGATCGGAGACATCGAGGGAAGGAGGAGGAGGAGGAGGAGGAGGAGGGGAGGAGGGGAGGAGGAGGAGGAGGAGGAGGAGGAGAGGAGGAGGAGGGAGGGAGGAGGAGGAGGAGGGAGAGGAGGGAGGAGGGGGAAGGAGGGAGGGAGGGGCGGGAGGAGGAGGAGGGGAGGAGGAGGAGGAGGAGAGGAGGGGGGAGGAGGAGGAGGAGGAGGAGGAGAGGAGGAGGAAGGAGGGGGAGAAGAGGGGGAGGAGGGGGAAGGAGCCAGCATGCATCGCAGAGGGCCACGTCGTCGGAGGTCTGGGTCCGTCGGCCCGGCGGTCGCCCGCTGGAGGCCGCCGCACCCGCCGCCGCGGCCGTCGCGGAGCAGACCGCCTGGCACACCCTCATGAGGCCCGGGGGCCCGCGCCCCGCGGCCGCCTCCTCTTCCCCTTGCTCCACCCCCCCCCTCCTCAGGTCCTAACCTCCCTCCCCCCCTCGTCGTCCTCCTCCTCCCCCTCGGCCCCCTCCTCTCCTGCTCCTCACCTCCTCCTCCTCCTCCTCCTCGTCCTCCTCCTCCTCCTCCTCCTCCTCCTCCTCGTCTCTCCTCCTCCTCCTCCTCCTCCTCTCCTCTCCTCCTCCTCCTCCTCCTCCTCCTCCTCCTCCTCCGCCTCCTCCTCCTCCTCCTTTCTGTACGACCGTCTCCTTTTCCCTCCTCCTCCCCCTGCGCGCCCCTGCGTGGGAAGACCTGGCGCAGGTAGGGCCAGAGCGCCTCGTAGCGCGAGCGACCTCCCACAAAGCGAGCCACAGGCAGGCCGCACAACACGTTTGACCGCTACAATGCCCCAGTTGATGTGCAGTAGCCTCGAGCTCGGCCCGACAGCTCGATCGATCGATCTCCCTGCCACTCCTCCTCGGCCGTAGCCATTTTGGCTCAATGTCTGGCCTGACCCTCAACCCATCCCTTCCCGCCTCAACCCAATCCTCCTTTGCATCGTTTTTGTATGTCTTCCCCCCTCCTTCCCTTGCCCCAGTTTGATTCAAGTTCGACTCAGGACGACAGCCGTTCGACACGGCATCGACGCCTGTGTGGAGCGAGTGGCTCCAGGAAGGCCCCCAGAACGAGCATCTAGCGTTCTGGTTCCTCCTCCCCCTCCCTCCTCTCCCTCCCTCCTCTCCCTCCTCTCCCTCCTCGCCGTCCTCTCCCTCCCTCCTCTCCCTCCTCTCCCTCCCTCTCCCTCCCTCCTCTCCCTCCCTCCTCTCCCTCCCTCCTCTCCCTCCCTCCTCCCTCCTCTCCCTCCTCTTCCTCCTCGCCGTCCTCCTCCCCGTCCGTAGCCATTTTGGCTCGAGGCCTGGCCCGGCCCGCCGCTGCTGCCGGCGGGCCCGCCGCGGCCGGCGGCCGGATCCCCGCGGGCCCGCCGCGGCCGGCGCCCGCGCGTTTCCCCGGGGGCCCAGCAGCCCATGGCGGCGGCGAGGAGGGCCGGCCCCGCGGGCCGCCAGGTGGTGCCGGGGTTGGCGCTGGGCGTCGTGCTGGCCGCCCTGGCCTCGAGGTCTGTGGACCTCCCCGATGGCATCCGAGTAAAAGAGGAGGGAGGAGGGGGAGGAGGAGGAGGTGGAGGAGGAGGAGGAGGAGGAGGAGGAGGAGGAGGGCGAAGAGGAGGGCGAGGAAGGGGGGAGGAGTCCCCGCCCGCCGCATCGCCGACGAATCGGCGATGCATCGGCGGTGCGGCGCAATCCTCCGACCCCATCTCACTTACTCGGACTCCATCTGGGAGGCCTCTGGAGGTTTGCCGCCCAGGCTGCCCCCAGCTCGAAGAAGAAAAGACGGCATGAGCATGCAGCACTCCAGCAAAGCACCCCAGTGGCAGCAGCGGTGAAGCGGCGGGTCAAGGAGCAGGAGGAGACAGGGGTGAGGGCACGACCGTGTGCGCGCCATGGTGTAGCTGTTGCCCAGGATCGTGGCCGTCTGGGAGGAGGAGGAGGAGGAGGAGGAGGAGGAGGAGGGAGGAAGGAGGAGGAGGAGAGGAGGAGGAGGGAGGGAGGAGGAGGGGAGGAGGGAGGAGGAGGGGGGCGAGGAGGTGGGGAGGGGGGGGGAGGAGAGGAGGAGTGGGTGGAGGGAGGAGGAGGGGAGGGGGGGAGGAAGGGGGGAGGAGGAGGAGGAGGGAGGAGGGGGAGGAGGAGGAGGAGGAGCGGAGCGAGGAGAAGAAGCCTGAAGCAAAGAAGCAAAACGGCTGCCAGACCGTCTCTGGACCAGGCGGCCTCGGGCTCCCCGTGCCCCCTTTGAGACTCCTCTGTGGTCGTTGTCTGCCCTTCTCCGAGAGGCCTGCTCCAGTCGGCCAACCCCCCCCAGGAGATGGATGAATCAGGGGGGGGGGGGAAAGACACACAGACAAATGAACCGTCGATCCCCGAGAAAATATGGGAAGATGTGGGAAGTGGAGGGGAAGACACCCCCCCCTGAAAATATAGGAACATATGGGGGATGTTCTCATTTGTGTGTATTCCTTTGTGTGTCCTGGGGCCCCTCGAAACCCCCAGGAGATGGCTGACGTCCACGGGGGAGGCCTTTGGGGGGCTTTTTGGGGGCCCACTGGGGAGAGCCCTCTTGGGCCTCCTGGGGGCCTCTTGGGGCCTCCTCCTCCTCCTCCTCCTCCTCCTCCTCCTCCTCCTCCTCCTCCTCCTCCTCCCCCTCCTCCTCCTCTTCCTCCTCCTCCTCCGGAGCTTCTCGGGCGCCGCTGGCGGTCTCGGGGGTCCTCTTGGGGGCGGAGGGCTCGGAGTGCCGGCTCGAGCTGCCTCTCTTGGGGCCCTGTTGGGGTTGTGTCGGAGGCGGATAGACCTCCTACCCTGACACGTCGATTAGTGAATTTGCCGTTTTCGGCTCGCGAGAGGGCGTCGCGGCCGTCATTTTTGCGGGTCCAGGTCCGCCGGTTTCGGTCCCAGGACGATTTCACTAAGGGGAGGTCTACTAAAGGGAGGTTTGTCCACCGCCGATAGGGGGCGGAGGGCTCGGAATGTCGGCTCGAGCTGCCTCTCTTGGGGCCCTGTTGGGGGTGGGGGTGTTGACTGGTGGGGGTTGGGGGGGGTGACTGAAACTCGTGAAGGCGCCGGACGGCAGTATCCATCTGCCACGGCGGCCTCCGAGCAGGCAGGCCACGCGCGCCCCGGCCGAAGGCCGGGGGGCATGCGGCAAGGCCAAAGTACGCTTACCGCATTTGCACCTTTCTCAGCCCTGTTGGGGACCTCTTGGGGCCATCTTGGGCGCCTCTTGGGCCGTCTTGGGGCCCTGCTCGGCCATCGTGGGGCCGTCTTGGGGACTTCGAGGGCCGTCCTGGTGCGATCTTGGCGGCCCTCTTGGTGAATCTATGACGACGCTTGTGCAAACTTGAGGCCAGCGTGGTCGTTCTTGAAACTTCTCGGCATGTTGGAGCCCAGCTAGCTTGAGCCATCTTCATGGCATCTAGTGCATCTTGGAGGCCATGGAGTGTAGATTTGGAGGCTCCAGAGGCCCCTGGGGTGCGTTGACGAGCTCGGTCTCCCCCCCACCCCCCGGCTCCCCGGCCCCTTGCGCCCCACCCCCGTCGCAGCCTCCCCCCCGCCCCCCCTGTCTTTTTATCGGATTTCAGACCCCAGGGGAGGGGGAAAGGGGGAGTGGGACAGCACTTCATTTCACGCGGTTTTGCACCCCCAGAGAGCGGGGGTCGGTAGATCAAACCCTCTGGCGAAGTACTGTTAGGGCATTTTCGGAGGTCCGCGCGGAGTTCTTGGAACGGCGTTGGGCCCCCCTGGCGGTGCCTCCTGCGCCGCCACTTGCGCGCTCCGCGCGCCACGGAGGAGAGTCCAGCGCCGATTCAAGAAGTCCGCGCGGACCTCCGACATGCTATGTTTGAGCCGTCTTTTGTTCCTCTACCAGCGCCTTCGTAGGCACCGCGCTCCAGGCTGATAGCCGTTCGAGCTTGGCGGTGGCGATGCGCTCTGGGTCGGCGTCGGCGTTCTTCAACAACGACCGCGTCAAGTTGATGCGCAAGGAGCGCCGAGGGGTTAATGCACACCCCTCCTCCTTCTGCGGCCCCTCTCCCGTCTACGCTTGGGGCCAGGCTGTGCGCACGAGCGAGAGAAAGGGGAGGAGATAAGAAGAGGGATGGGGTAATGGAGTGGGGGAGCGGGAGGAGGGATCGGATGGCAATCGCGGCGACGTCCCTTCGATTCGCTCGTGTTTCCGCTACCTTTTGTCCCTGTGGGCGACTGCATCCGAAGTGCCGGATGCTCGTGGGCCAAGTGCCGGATGGCGCGGTTAGACCTTAGCTTCACATCAGTGGTGGAGGCTCGCCGGCGCCGTCAGCATCGGAGCGTGAGGTCCTCCTGGGGGCACTGGCCCGGGCGCGCGCTCGCCGACAGGAGGGGCCCGCGCAGGCTGGAGCCCTGGCAGCGTCGGGAGACCGAGGACGCGCGGTGCTCCTGGCTCGGAAATGCGTTCCACGCGGGGGTTGCGCCGTGGCTCGTCGGACAGGGCCAGTACCGCGCCGAGCTCCCAGAGCGCCCGCCGACGCCGTCGGGGATCCGGGCCGCGTTCTGCAGGCATGCAGCGAGGCGCAAGGCGCGCGCGCTGGACCAGCCGCGCCCGGATCGCGGCACGCCCGCGACGCAGGGGGTCAGCGCCGAGGCGCAGCCGCCGAGCGAACAGAGCTCGGATGAGGTCACGCACATCAGGAGCGACAAAAGGACGTACACGTACATGAATCCACGCTGGTTTCGAGAGTACGCATTGCGCAAATGTTCGTATAACGCGGCCGGTCTCGCGGATCGAGGGGCCGTGTTCATGTACATAGCTGGGCGCGTACGTCCTTTGTGGGCTCCCTAGCACAGCTTGATGCTCGAGATGCACCGCCGTGCTGACCGTCTTGGCAGCGATGTGGGGCTGGACATTGGGCTGCCCTGTCGGTGCAACGCCTGGCCGCGAGCCAGCGTCGACCCGCGCCGCTGGTGCTGGAAGCACGCTGTGGCCATGCGGTTCCATCGCCCGCGCCGCGCCCACGAGCTGGGGCTGCAGACGGTGCACAGTGCGCTGAGGCAGCGCATGCGCCACTTCCGAGCCCTCGGCGCGAGGGTATGCCTGCTCGTGGACTCGCAAGTAACTGCGGCGGTCGCTACGAAGGGTCGCTCGTGGTCTCGACGCCTGAATGCTTCGCTTTGCCGTCTCAATACCCTCTGCCTCGCGACCCTTTGCGCCCCCTTCTTGATCTACGTGCGCGCGGCGGACAATCCCGCCGAGGCACCGAGCAGAGCGCCATGGGTGCTACGAGGCCGAGGTCAAGCGGCCTCCAGGGCGCGAGAGGGGCTAGAACGGCGGCGCGAGCGGTAGTGGGCAGGCTGAGCGACAATATCCCAACCAAGCGTGTGATCACGCAATGCATTGATTTCGCCGCAGAGTCCTTCGAATGGGCGCATGGCCGAACGTCTCGGCCAAACGTCGTGCATTTAGATCAGCTGGACCATCTACGCGCAGAGTGCATAGAGTGCCTCTGGGGAGAAGGCGAGCCGAAGGGCTGGGCGGCCTTCGCCCTCGCAGCAGCGCGGCACTTCATTCCGGGCGCCAGGCGCCACCTCCCGTCTGCGTGGCGCGTGACAGCCGCCTGGGACAAGCTTGAGTTGCCAGAGCGGCCTCCGCCGTTGACACAGGCGGTGACCTTCGCGGTCGCAGGTGTAACGATGCACCCGCGCGCTGCTCTCGCCGTCGCAGTCGCGTTGTATTGCGCGCTGCGCACGGGCGAAGTCTTGGCGATTCGGAAGCGCGACGTTGCGATCGCCAAGACAAAAACAGGTGTTGTCATCAAGCTCCGTCTCACTCACTCAGTCTGGTCAGTGGTTAAGTCCGCATGAGATTGTGAGCGTCGGTGACGTGGCCCTGGTAAGACGGCTCTCCCGAGTCTTCCAGCAGCTCCTGCCAGGGGGCCCGTTCTTTGCCCAAACGCCCCTTGAGTTCCGCAAGCTGTTCCATGGCTCCCTTCGGGCACTCGGGTTGTCAGCGCGCAGGTCAAGCCGTGCGGCTTAAGAAGAGGTGGAGCAACGCATCGCTATCGAATCAAGGGTGACATGAATGGGGCCACCTTTAGTGGGCGCTGAGGTAACATCAATGCAGCCCGAATATATATATATATATATATATATATATGTATGCATGTATATATATATACATGTATATATATATACACATATATATATATATATGTATCACTGACGCCCTCGTGAAGCTCCAGGAAGCCACTTTCGCGCCTAAAGAAAGAATTGGAGGCACTTCAGAGATTTAAGAGTGCTGTGGTCAAAGCGGCTAGTTAGCCATCCTGGGGTCGGGCGGATGTTCTCCCCCCCGCTGCCCGTCGGGTAGTTGCAGGTACAAGGTAAGCCTTAGGGCTTGGCATGTGCGTAGGTGCGAGTGCCTCCAGTTCACTTTTTTCTGTTGGTGAGCCATAACAAAACGGGAATGGTGGAGCGTGGAAGTGATGGTCTCTGAGACCTGGCCCTTTGGGGCCGCGTTGACCCGGGGTCCGGCTCGGGACTAGGGCCCCCCCCCTGCCGTTGGTTGGAAGGCGCTTGGTGGCTCCCGCGTTGGTGCGGCCCCTTGCGGGCTCCCGCGTGGTGCCGCTGGTTCGGCCCTTATGTGGCCAGTGTTGCTCGCACGCTGGCGCGGCCCCGCGGGGCCCCCGCGTGCTCGCAGGTGTGGCCCGCCGTGTGCCTGATCGGCGCGCCGTGGCCATCGGTGAACTGCCAAGGGGGGGGGGCCTGATACTTGCGCCACCGCACGCGCATAATGCCTAGGCGCGCGACCGTCGACAAACATGACGCCATGTTTATGATGATGATGATGATAGCAACGATTATGATGTTGACGATGAAGATGGTGATTGCGAGGGTCGTGAGGATGATGATGATGATGAATGTGATGGTGACGATGATGACTGTGATCCTGATGATGATGGTGGCGATGATGATGTTTGTGTTTTGTGATGATAATCATAATGGCAATGATGATGATGATTATGCTGATGCTGCTGCTAATGATGGTGATGGTGCTGCTGCTGCCGATGATAATGAAGCGTGTTCAATTGGTGGCCATGATGATGAGGCTGATGGCGATGACGATGGCCATGCCCATGACGATGCTGATGGTGGTGGTTCGTATGCTGAGGGCGTCGGTGACGATACTGACCAAGACGATGACCATGACGATGATGGTGATGGTGGTGATGGTGTTGCTGCTGATGGTGATACTGATGACCTGGTGAGTGTTAATCGGTTATGATGTTGATGTCGATGGCGGCGACGATGGCAATGACGATGATGAGGGTGATGTTGATGACGATGGCGATGATGATGATGATGACGATGCTGGTGGTGGTGGTGATTATGAGCAGCAGCAACAGCAGGAACAGCAGGATGGCAATAGTTATGAACCAGGAGGAAGGATCTGAAGGGGCAGGGAGCAGGCCGATGCGTAGCAGCGGCGCCGCCGAGGAGCGCCTGCAAAAGGAGGCGATGTTCCGAGTGGCAGAATCGAAACCGAGGAACGAGGGCAGGTTCCACAAGCCCATGGACTGGGACAAGCTGCCCCCGACCGACGACATCTACGCCCGCAAGTTCACCGGGAACGCGGATCAGGACCCAATCGGTGGGCGCAAGCGGTGCTCGACGGTGCACAGAAGAGGGCGGGGAGATGAGAAACGGCTTTCTAGCAAGGCGCTGCTTTGAAGCCCACCGTCCCTTAGGAAGGCCTCTTCGTTGCCCCCAGTCCCTTCTGAGAGGTCCCGTGCCTTCTTGGAAGGTCGGCCCCTTTTCCCTAACCCTCTGGCGCACCGCCAAGGTACACCCTCTACGTTCTGTACAAGTACGATCCTAGTAGGCCCGGTCAGAAGGCGTTCGAGGAGTCGAGGACGGGCGATGGGAAATCTCTGGCCCCGACCCTGCAAGGAAAGCGTTGGCTATAGTCACCACTCGTTGTTTCTTCAAGGAGGGCGGTGAAGGCACAACTCGCCTGTTTCTGGGGGAGATCAAAATTCTTCGAGTGCGGGTCAAGGCCGGATGGGTGCTCCGAGCTGCCCACAGGGAGAAGTTCCTGAAATTCTTGAAGTTCAAGATGTCATGTTTCAACATCCTGGGCACGGTGACCAAGAGCCCCATCGACGGGGCCTCAAGGATCAAGCTCGAGTACCCCATGAAGGAGTACGGCGACAAGGTTCGCCAGGGCGGCACGCTGAAGGCCAAGGCCATCTATGACACCGCCGTTATGATGACCTGGTCCTTCGCCGCTCCCCCCTCGACCATCTCGTACATTAAACAGCAGATCTACAGCGACAACGCGGTCCTCAGGCGCACGATCTCAGCCAGCATCAGGGAAGAGGGAGGGGGGAGCCTGAGCAGAAGCAACAGGAGCAGAAGTAGCAGGAGCAGAAGCAGCGTGAGCAAGAGGGGGGGAAGGATGGAGGATAATATCATGCTCAGGCACATGATCATAAAGAACACCAGGAACTTCAATCACGTCGGCGAGGACAACGAGGGGCATATGTGAGCTGCGCCAGTACCCCTGTCGCCAGCCACTGACGCACACCTCCGCAGGTCCTATTCTCCTCCTCCGAGCTTCGAGGTGCGGATGGTTCTGCTGCTGATGCCAGCTGAATCCCTCGCGCGCTCCTCTCCTCTTCCTCACGGGGAGGAAAATGGAAAACAAGCAAGTGTGCATGGGGTGGCACACGACGTCGAGGCATGTGGAGATGCAGGGGACAGAGAGGGGGACCGCAGACGAGGGATGAGGCGGAGACAAGCGAGAGGGAGGGAGGAGGAGGGGCCACCCCGGCCGCTGAAGCCCTCCCCCTACGGCAGGGGCCCCTGCCTCAGTAGGCGAGCGCCCGCAGCAGCCCGCCCCCCCCCCCCCCCCCCCCCCCCCCCCCTTGGGTGGGGCGATCGTGAGCCCGAGCGCGCCCTGGCTGCGCAAGACTGGTCGACGCCCAGCAAGACGTGCCTGTCGTCCCCCCCTCCCATCCCCACCACTCCTCCTCCTCCTCCTCCTCCTGCCCCTCCTCCTCCTCCTTCTCCTCCTCCTCCTCCTCCTCCTCCCTCCTTCCTCCCCCTCCTTCCTCCTCCTCCTCCTCCTTCCTCCTCCTCCTCCTCCTCCTGCTCCTCCTCCTCCTCGTCGTCCTCCTCCTCCTCCTCCTTCCTCCTCCTCCTAAAACTGCCCAAAACCGTTTACTGCCGCGGGCGGCACGTCGTTAGAGCGCAGACGGAGGACGGCCTCCCACGTCGTGGTGGCCACTGGGCCTGGTCGGGCGGCGCAGCCGGCAGGAGAGCCGCAGATCTGCCACAGTTTGCGGATAGGGATGCGATGGGCCCCCGTCCCCACCACTCCTCCTCCTCCTCCTCCTCCTCCTCCTCCTCTCCTCCTCCTCTTTCTCCTCCTCCTCCTCCTCCTCATCCCCCCTCCTCCCTCCTCCTCCTCCTCCTCTCCTCCTCCTCCTACTCTTTCTCCCTCCTCCTCCGCCTCCTCCTCCTCCTCCTCCTCCTCCTCCTCCCCTCCTCCTCCTCCTCCTCCTCCTCCTGCCTCCTCCTCCTCCTCCTCCTCCTCCTCCTCCTCCTCCTCCTCCTCCTCCTCCTGCTCCCTCTCGCGGCGGCACCCGCCATCGAGACGGGTCGTATCGCTCACGCTGGCAGGCTTTGTCTGGTGAGCTACTGGCCTTCCGCGCCTCTTGGCATGTCTTGGGGCCCTCTTGGGCCCGAGCGTGTCACGCGAGGAGACGCGCTGAGGCCCAGGAGGCACCTCGGGAGCCCCGAGGGAGCTATGACTTTGGGGTCCGGCCCTATGAGATTCCGACTGAGGACTGCAAACGACCTGAGGGCTTTGCAACGTGTGCCTCGCGGCACGGTGGTGGATCGCGGCATTGCATACGTAGGGAAACAAAAAGTGACATAAACATAAAAACTCGGAGGTCCGCGCGGATTTCTCGGATCGGCGCTGGACCCCCCTCCCTGGCGCGCGGAGCGCGCCAGGGGCGGCGCCGGAGGCGCCGCCGGGGGGCCCCAGCGCCGATCCGAGAAATCCGCGCGGACCTCCGAGTTTTTATGTTCATGCCACTTCTTGTTCCCCTAATACGGTCGGCGGGATTTTCTGTTTGGATCGCGTGTCGCCGTGGTGGCCCCGGCGACGGGCTACGCCGCGCAAGCAGGCAGCGCATCGCCCCGCCCCGCGGCCGGGAGGCTCGGTCGGAGGAGCTCGGGACGTGGCCGCCCAGGTGCTGCGGCGTGGAAGGCGTGTCGCCCCGAGGCGCAGCGGGCCAGCGCGGGCGGAGCGACACGCTGTCTCACAGTCCCCGGCCGACCGCCCTGCTCCAGGGGCGCCCTCGAGGGCGCGAGGCGATTCGCGCTGCGCGCTCCGCGGCTCGGCTCCGCTTCCTCCTCGCCCTCCTCTTCTCCCCTGGGAGGCGGCGCGAGACAGCGCGCAGTGATTCGCGCTCCGCGCTCCGCGCAGCGCGAAAGCGCGAAGCTGGGAGCCCTTGTGCTCTGCACACCTCCTCCCGGCCTCGCTCTGAGGCTGCGCCGAAAACTTTTCCTCCCTCATCTCTGGTTCATTCAAGCTTCGCGCGGCCCGCTTAGCTTCGACCGGAGGAGGTGCGCTCTCGACCCGCGAATCAAAAAATTGTGCTCTGCACAGCGATCGGCCTGCGGATGTCGAGCGCGTCGGGCCCGGCCCTGCCGCGGCCGCGGGCGGGTGCCGCGGGCGCTCCGCCCGCGCCCTGCCCCCGGGCCGCCGCCCCGCGGCGGCGCGCGGGGAGGGGGGGCCCTGGTGCCTCCTCCTCCCTCTCCTCCTCCTCCTCCTCCTCCTCCTCCTCCTCCTCCTCCTCCTCCTCCTCCTCCCCTCCTCCTCCTCCTCCTCCTCCTCCTCCTCCTCCTCCTCCTCCTCCTCCTCCTCCTCCTCTCTCCTCCTCCTTTCGCGGTCGGCAGGACGCGGCCGAGGTAGCCCGAGGCGCAGTCATCTTTCGCCGCATCCTCGTCGTCCATCCGATGATCCGTCCTCTCCCGCGGGCGGCCGACGACGGCGGCAGAGAGTCGGAGGTTCAAGGGTGGGGTCCTGGGGGACGGGGTCCTAAGGACGAGGTGCCTCAAACAATGCAGGCCCACCCTTGGATCCCTTCCTATCCGTAGGACCCCATTCCTCAGCACCACATCTTTGAGCCACCGACACAGGGGAAGGTGCGTGGCTCAGCAGGAGTGCTGGCGGGGGATCGCTCATTGGACCCATGCCTCCGGTCGTTTTCGATATATATATATATATATATATATATATATAGAGAGAGAGAGAGAGAGAGAGAGCGGCGGCCTATTCCACCTGCGCGCTCCGGAGCAAGGTGGGCGCAGTTGTGGTCCATCCAGGCCGCCTGGGCGTCGACCAGACGGTAGCAGGCGATCTCGAGTGCCTTGGTGAAGAACGTCGTGGCACGGCCCGCGCGGCAGCGAGGCCTGTTTCCCCCGCGGTGCGCCGGCGAGCGCCAGGCAGCCTCCGTACGGATGCGGATGGAGCCGCCGGGCCGGCGATGTGGCGCCAGGCATTGTAGCAGATGTCGATCCGCTCGGCAGTCTTGGCGCTTCTGCCACAGAGGCAACCCTGAGCTTTGGCCGCTCGCGCCGCGATCGTGAGGCCCTGGTAGTGCCGGCCCATGCGGTTCTCAAGGTGCTGGAGCGTTCGGCCCCCTAGGTACAACTTGCGCTGAGCACGCTCGCCGAGAGAAGTTGCCGTGACACTGGTGCAGGGCAGAGGAGATGAGAGATACTACTCAGAGATCTTGAGGTCGTGCCGCTGCGAGTGCGCAAGAAGAACTCTCGAGACATAATGGCTACGGTCGCCCCGCGGTTGTACTTTGAGGCGCAGCCGAAGGGCAGCTCGAGGGGTCTGCCCGACAGTTTATGGCCTCGCACGATGCTCGCATGTGCATTCTGCCGCGCGAGCTTTTTCTGAGTCACCCGCATTTTGCCATTTACCCCCTTCGACCCAGCCATGCTGCAGGCAGCCGCGTCGGTGGCGGCCACCACGCCGGCCTCTGACGCGGAAAGAGGTGGCACACCCAGGTCTCGGAGAAGCCGCAGCCGTGAGATCAAAACAGCTCGAGTGTTGATGTCACAGTCACTGGCGACGCAGTGCTGCAGGTCCTGAACGTCTCCGGTCGCATCGAGAACACCGTGGCCGCAGAGGACGACATCCTGAAGATGAGCGCCATCACCGCCAGCAAGCAGACGCATACCAACGGCTTCGGACAACGCGTGGAGAAGATGGAGAAGGACATCGTCAACTACTTCGGGAACGCCTGCCTGGTTGTGTTCGGTGCAGTCGACAAGAGAAGTCTTCCGACCAGATCCAGCAGCTGCAGGCCAGCGCGGCCGCATCGGCCGCCCAGGTGGCCCAGGTCAGATTTGCCTCGTCCGCGACATCGACGCCGCCGTGCCCTGGAGGTGAGCGGAGAAACGTGGAGGATGAGGCAAGCAATCGCAGGTTGTGGGTCGCTGGGTGTCGCCGGCCGTTTCGTGCAGCAGTGCTTCTGCGTCATGCTTGTCCCTGGTCCAGCGGCACGTTCTTGGGAATACCGTTGCGGAGCCGAAGGCACACAACTTCGCGACGGCCTGTAGTATCACGTTCGATTCACAAGAACATGGCAGGGACTTCATCACCCGTGTGCGTGCGCTCGGCCTCTCTTGGTACGACGCGAAGGACCAGAAGGACGTCGACTTGAAAGTGAGGGTGGACGCGCCAAACGGCGTACGACAAGTCAACCAGATCTGAGGAGTGCTATTGACTGCGGCCATGGGCATCGCCCGCTGTGCGGGTAAATAGGACAACCGGAGCAAGTCTCGATCGCAAGGCTACTGTGGTAACCCCTGGCTCACAACACCTGATGAGGGAATAGTGGCTCGATTCAGCGTCAGAGGTGTTCAGGAGAAGATGATCGAGAATCTAGAGGGCCTGCGTTGAGGATGCCCGGTTTCATGGAGGATGGTATGAGCACGACTGTCGACGCGCTCTCCCTGTAGTGGTCCCGACGGCCATTTCGGTCAGTTCTTGGTGTACGAGAGAATGGTGGACTGGTCAGTTTTGCTAGCAGTGCTATTGACATGCATGTGACGGGGTGTGAAAAGGGCGAGGCGACTCGTGAGCGTGACGCACATGGTATTGGTAACCTCTGCTAGTCTGCGCCGCTGCCTTCGTCAACTTGCGAGTGTAGCCAGTCCTTCGAATTCAGTGATGTCTGTGCCATCCCGAAACCCTGTGCGCATCCTTTCTCGCCGCGTGGCTCTCCCGCTTCGAGCCCCAGGGTGCATCGGTGCTCTCCGTCGGGCACCTCGCCCAGTCCCTCCTGCAGCCGTTCGTTCTCCCCGTCGTCGGTTGCTTCCAGTAGTATTCCGAGTCGCGAAGGCCTTGAGCGGCTTGGCCTCCCGCGCGGACGTCGCCCCCGCGCCCCCGCGCCTCGTTTCGCCGCGGCAGCGCGGAACGCGAGAGGCCTCTTCGATGCTCGGCGCGCCCCGCAGCGC